TTCCCAAAATCTTTTGCATCTACAAAAATGACATTAAACTGGCAAAATAACAAAAACATTAGGTACAATTAGATGAAAGAGACATAGCTCCCTAAAAACATTTATAAAAATTTTGCGAACCTGTTTATCCTGTACACGTACTATGGCATCATTACGATCAGCTTTAGTTTGTATTCTATCAAGCATCTGATTTTGCTCGTCGACTTCACGTCCTAGGTCTTCACCCAAACGTCGCAAGTTGCGGAGATTCTTCGACATAACGTCTAGGAAGAACACATTCGTTAGCATCGGCAGTAAGTTATAAATTATGACAAAACAGAATCTAAACGAGCAATTACCGAGATTCTCATCAATCTGGTTATCCATTGCCTCCCACCGAGTTCCTTTAATCGCATTCCTGCTGGACTCGCTCAACGTTGGCTGTCCAGCACTACTCATTCCTGAGAAAGACGCTGAAGACCCGCCTGTATTCAGATCTCCCACAGTATCGGACAATTTCGATGCCGATTTAGATTGCGGCATCTAAACAGATGTTGAATAAATTAAAAATCAGTGAGTAGCGAGAACAGGTGAATTGGGATAAATTTACCTCAGCAATTGACTCCGGCGGTTTACGGCTAAACTTGTTCTTAAAAAATCCACCAAACACCGATTTTAGACTATTAAGATTACGCTGAGTTACCTGCAATAGAGTGAAAATTTGCAAAAAAAGATAAGCTGAGAACTTTCACTTTCCTACCTGCGTCGTTCTATGTATCTCGTCTAAATTGCGCTCCGTTCTTTCCAGCTTCTCACGTTGTTCCAGTAAATCCTAAATGCAAGAAGAGCTAGCTTTGAATAGATTTCAGACAATAATTCTTAGTCTAAAAATTGTAAGTTGGAATCAAAGTTACATCGTATCCAAAAAAAAGTTACTGGCCAATATAATAACCTGCGCAGTTTGTGTCCCGATTTTTTCCGAATTTTCTAAGTGACGCTTAGATCTTTCCGTACTATCGAGAGATTCTTGCATATACTTTTCAATCTCCTTTTCGTAATAATCAGCTTCATCCTCTATATTATCCGTATGTGTATAGCTTTTTAATTTGGCTGAAAAGAAGCATACGAGTATTTAGTATGAAACTCCACAAGAGAACTGTAAACTATATGAATAATCGACTGGCATTTGAACTTACTGTTTCTTGTGGCACTGCTGCTTCTATAATCGTCATCAAATGGATTAGCCATAATCAGAAATGAAAGCCTAAAATGCGTAGAAAAGCCTGAAAACA